CTTTTCATAGAAGCCCTTTTCCACTTTCACACGATTCCAGGCGGCCATCCGTTTCAGCACCTTCACAAACTCGTCGTACCTACCATGAACCAGCAACCACCTCGGCGACTCGGGTACTATGAAGAAGAGAGAAAGGTGTACAATCAGGAAGAGTAGGCCATATAGACGCAGGTGAAACCAGTCACGTGTGAGGTAGGCTATGCCTGCAGTCAGCATATAGCCAAGCCCGAAGGGGATCCAGTAGAGGTTGATAAATATTGCTCTTTTCTTAGTCGGTACTAACTCGGCAAGGATGCATGGTGGTAGGTAGCAGATGGAGGCCGACAGCGAACGCAGTGCACGGATTAAGAAGAGACAGGTAAGGCTGGGAGCCAGTACAAGGCAGGCGGACGTTAGGCAATCCCAGGAAGCATAGAAAAGCAGCAGTTTTCGACGACTTATCCTGTCCGTAAATATTGCCATGCTGTAGCCTGTAGCCAAACTCATAATAAATACGATTTCGAGCAGAGTGACGAGATACCTACGGTCACAGACGAGGTTATAGTCTGTTACCAGGGTGCGGGACATTGTGTACTCTGAGAAGGTCCACTGATCACAGGCGAATGGTCGCATGACTTCCTGTTGCCGCACAATAGCCCAACACTGTTCCAACGCTGAGTTATTGGCGTGGAAATAACTGCCAAAACCTGTGCTAAGTTTCTCCTGCTGCTGCTGTGAATTCTGAAAGCTCAAGTATTCGGACTTTGTTACCCAAGTGATCTGGCTGAATTCATTGAGGTGAGGAGAGGAGCAGTTGAAAGGGGGTGTGAGATGGAGGAAAATTATGGATTGAAATTCGAAGACAGTGACGAAATTTGTGAGGCCACAGCAAACTGTAAGAATTATCTGGAAGATCCCATATCCATAGAGGGCACTCAAAGTGTCTTCATAGTTCATAGTGTGATCACCCACACCTTTCAGCACACAACCTTACATAAATAACTGGCTTTTGCGTGTGCTGTCGCGTTTAAATTCGAAAACGGTTCAGTTCGGACCGAGGCGCCTGCCAACAGTCCTGTAAACTGTTTGCACCGGCGACACGGTCTGTGAGTGTAAACAACGAGACCTGTTTAGATTATTTGAGCCAGTTCTTTATCGGTGCCCTTGACCGCACCCCTACGTGCCGCGAGAAGTCCGCTTGGCCACCACCCCCTGCTACTATGTGTGTGTGTGCCCTCTTCAGCTGCACTGACGTTTACACACTAACACGGTTTTAGTTCCTACGCCTTGGCACCCATGACTGTCTGAGGACACAAAACGTATTGCTCGAATCACATTAGTTGGCTCTGGTGAGCCTAAGCCAAATAAAATTGCTCCATTCGAATAAAGTAGGCACTGCTGTGAACTACGACGTCAAGTTTAGGTATGCCTTCATCCCCACGATAAAGCAATCTCACCTCCACGCAGGCACTGAAAATGGGCCCTGCAAGGTCTCGCCTTTGCCGCGGCCACAGAGCTCTACTCAGATCTGATTGGCTTACGTCTACGACCATTTGCCTGACTTTTCCAGAACTTTCACTTCAAGCGGACTGGACAGCAGATAACCAGTGTGAACGAGCCGCTGTAAACACACACGGCCTTTCAGTGAGAGAGGTCTGCTGGTTTTTAATATATTTTCCTCGTGGCCCAGCGTCTTCTCATCCACTTCCGTTTTAATGTTTTGGGGGACAACAGCCGGCAAGCATGTTTCGTATGATTTATAAGTACCAGGCCGGATCATAACAGCCCCACTACTGCGAATAAAAGCGAACATGCGAGTCCCAGGAAGCAATTGAGAGGAAGAAGACTCGATCGTTTCTCAGCCCCACTACTATTGTTCACTCAGGTTCCCAATCTTGATGTCAAACGAAATCGCGTAAAGTTGCCTCTTAGTGTGCAAAGCGAGAATATAATTTAACTCTACGACTAAGATTTACACAAAGACTAAAACGACTATCCAAGAAAATTCCAGATAAACGACCTTAATTCTAGCACTAAACACGATGCCTAACAGTTACCCTGCAAAAGTCACATTTTCTGGAAGAAGGGGTAACGGCAAAAACTGGATATCACATTTCGGTGGAGGTGACATTTCTGTTTCAGACTTTTATATATTTTCTCTGATAAGTCCCATCACAGCTGAATTAAGCAGGTTCTCAATTTGGTGATCAGTCATTGACTTTTGTTTCGACCGAAGCATAGTTTCCAACTAACGGAACTACGACACTTTTCAATTCATGAAAATGAGAGTGGATCGAAACAAATTGCCTGAGCGAGCATGCGCGACCTGGGACCGGTGTATGCATGTGCCCTTGACGTTTGAACATAATTTACTTTGATAAGATTTCCAGGTTCACAATTTAATCAGTAAGCTGTAAAAACGTCAAACTTGTGCATCCATATAATTTAGCTTTTACATAAAGCCCTCTTGATTTCAATTAGCTCAGTTTATTTCTACCGAAACATATCATTCTTCTTAAAATAGATAACTGTAGATGGGAAGTGAACTAATGGCTGCAAAGTCCTCCCGTACTATGCGCCGAGGCTTTCGTCATGTGTCTCGCCGTACATCAGCATATCAGTACTCTGTACTCCCATTCCTAGCACGTTAACTCACGTGTGAAGGAAAGGAAATTGAGAAGTTGAAAGTCGACCTGTCTCCATAGCAGGTGTGGATATCGTGCAAACCTTTGGCTTTGAGTATTCTATGACCTTTTGCCTTTGACCTTTTAGCATGACCCCTTACATTACCTTATCCCTTGCTCTTCGTGGATGAAGCCATTTTTTCCTCAACATTTTGGATATTTTTAGTTGAACCAATTGTGAACAAACTAACGGCATTTGGCGGGATTCGAACCCGCATAAGAGGGAGGCCTTTTACACAAGCCAACGCTCTACCTACTTGAGTTACGATTGTCGCGCTTCACACGGTGCCGTGAGTTTTTTCACAATTGGGTCAACTAAATTAGCCAAATCTGCCAAACCAACTTAATAATTTTGGATATCACCTTCAAAATAGAGCATTCTTTCTCTGTATCTGACAGAGCTGAGGTCCATATTAGCATTTCTAGCAAACACGGACACTTATTATTAGAAAGAGGTCTAACACAAAGAGTACATTCAAGGAAAATGGCCCATTTTGTTATTAACCAATTTCCTGGGAGCATGGAATGAACGCGGAGCCCGTGGATGGTTTTTAGAGGTTAACATGTAGCTGAAAATAATAATTACACTGCGCACCTGCTAAAGGGAACATTACAGAAGAGAAATTGCAGAGAAGCACAAATATGAATTTCAGTATATATATCCAGGAGGTTAAATGTCTTTCGAAAAATGACTTGGGAAGTCAAACATTTCCCGTAAACTTCGTGACAAGTTGTTCGTTTTGAGAAGCAAAAATACCTACGATTGAAAGAACGTATATACCCTCTAGACTGTTATACAAGTTATACAAGACAGTTATCCAGTT